TTCTTGAGCTTTCTTTTTCTCCCATTTGAACTCTTTCTTTTCAGGAACAGCTTTCTCTGCAGCAGGCTCTTTGTCAACTTCCTTCTCTTTTTCTTTTTCAATGGCAGGTCCCTCAGCTTTCTTTTTCTCTACTGAAGGCTTAATCACAGGTTCAATTACAATGCCACTTCTAGTGGTAATGGCCTTGCAGTGTGCGTTTGGATTAACGTCTGTATTACTCGGTAAGGTGCCTTGGGTTCTTTCGTTGAACTGCCTTGACAATTGACCAATTTGGGTTTCAAGATTCCGGATAGAGGCTTCTTGATTCCGGAATGAGGCCCTGGTCTCTTGCATAAAGGTTGAAGTGTCTTCCCTGAAAGCATTGGTACTTTGAACGTATTCTGATGTGGTCTTGGATAGTTGTGCAAAGGCCTTCTCCCACTCTGATTGTTGTGGAGGTTGCTGTGGTACTGGCATAGGAGGATTTAGCTGATGATTCGAACTATAACTGAATCCTGGGTGTTGATTTTAATTTTTATTTCTCCACCCTTGATTCTGGTTATTGCCGTATTGGTTCCTCCCTGGATTATATGGAACTTTCTGATCATGCCAAATTCCATTAACATCTGCAGTTTCGGGTGCCTTGCAGTCATCAGTAGCATGAGCACCTGCACAAATATCACAAATAATAGAAGAAGTATTAACAGAAGCTACTGGAGTATTAACAGAAGAAACTTGAAAATCAGAAAATTGCTTTGTGAGAGCATCTAGTTGTTGTTGTTGTTTCTTATTAGACTGTAGAATCTGATCATTCTGGGCCAGGATGGCATCATAGCCATTAAGCTTCATAATCCCCGCTCTTCTCTGTGGTACGGGAGCATTATCATACTCCTGAGAGGCTAAAGACTCTAATAATTCCAAGGCTTCCTCTGGAGTTTTTGTTTTCAAGGACCCTCCTGATGCAGCATTCACCAATGTTCTTGTGTTGGGCTTCATCCCTTGGAAGAAAGTTCTCGCTTGTTCCCAGGCTTCAATGCCATGTTGGGGACACTTCCTGAGTAGTCCTTTGAATCTTTCCCATGCTTCATATAGAGATTCACTTTCTTTTTGTTCAAAAGAAGTGATATCCGCCTTGAGCTTTGCCATTTTCGAAGATGAGAAAAATTTGTCCAAAAATTTGGTTGCCAAGTCGTCCCAGTGGGTGATGCTTCCTTGAGGTAACGATTGCAACCATCCTCTTGCTTCATCTTTAAGTGAACAGGGGAACAATCTGAGCAAAATAGCATCCCGAGACACCCCATTCATCTTCAAGGTATCACAATATAGCAAGAAGTTTTCCAGATGGATGTAAGGGTCTTCCGTGCTTCCTCCGGCAAATTGTCTTTCTGAATTAATTGTAAAAGTTCCGGCTTGAGTTCAAAGTTGTTAGCACCCACGTTTGGTCTAACAATAATCGCCGTCTGTGGAACTCGAGCAGGAGTCATGTAATCTCCCAACGTTCTCGGAGGTGGTGGAGGTACATTGTTGTCTCCCATTGCTTCTTCTCTTGGTTCTGTTGAGCTTGAAGCTTCTGTCTCTTGTTGTCTTCTTTCTTTAGCAAGTTTTCTATTTCTTTTTGCTGTTTTCTCTATCTCCGGGTCGAATTGCAAGGAATCGGTGTCAACGGTACATCGCATAAACCAGAAAAATAGATTATATAAAATAAGAAAATAAAACTGAATTTAAATAACAGAAAATAAAGTCCAATCTAAAGAATTAATAGCTATTATTAATGTTGAAATAGTATTCCCCGACAACGGCGCCAAAAACTTGTTGGGCTACTCACGGCAAGTGCTCTGATCGTACAAGTAATATAATGATTAAGTAAGAGATTGTTCCCACGAGGATTACGGTTCAAGCACCAATTCACTATTGCAACTTAAGTTGGACAATCAAAAGTGTATTTGGAAACAGGATTTGAATTGCAAAATTAAAATATTAAATATTAGAGCTAATTACTTGCAAGAATTAAAGACAAGAAATTAAAGATGTGATTTACGAATGTAAAAGAACGTAGCTAGCGGTTCGATTTCATTTAATCTCCTTATTACGTTTGAATTCCTTCTTAATGTTAATTGTCCTTAGTATCAATCTAATCAATTCTTTCGCATGTTATTAGAGCTCAATTTCTTGTTACTCTAAAACCTTTACAATATTGGAAGAACCCTAGTTCCCCGGTTATTCCCCAAGCATGCAAGCATTAAGTTCAAGAATCTTAAAGATTACGCAAACCCTATGTCTATCCCTAGAATCATAACGTTTACGATGAAGTTATCAGATATGGATCATACACAAACATTCCTATTGTCATGCATTCACCGATGATCATTATATAAGATTCAAGCCTATATAAAGCATTAAAAACAGATAACTTCATTCATGATATAAAGGAAAATTAACACAGCGAATTGTTCAAAACATAATAAATCGATTAAAATCCATCTAACCCTAACTACTTAAAAGCTCCCCCAAACTCCATAGGTGATTGGTGGATCTTCAAAATCTCCAGTGAACACTTGACGTTGATCCGTCTCCGCCGCTCACGAACATGAATATGATATTTCCCCGCGTTCCTTTAGCCTCCAAGCACCCAAGAGTTGTTTTGCAATGTGAAATTTATGTATTTCTAGTCCCCAACGGTCCTTTTTTTGGCCAAGAGTTCGTATCCCAATAAAACACATTGAATGGGCCTAAGTTGGATCTGACTGGGCGCTTAAGCTTGCTGTAGCGCCCTAGGATGGTGATTTTTGACTCGCGTTGCGCGCTTAAGCTCTCTGGAGGGTGCTTAAGCGCGCTCCTCGCAACGAAACTTTCTTCTTGTCCCGCGCTTAAGCCTTGAGTTGGGGGCTTAAGCGCCCAGAGGCAGTGGCAATTATGTTTTTGGAGAGCTTAAGCTTCTGAATGGGGGCTTAAGCTTCCTCTTCTAACAACTTGGGAATGTTGATAAGATCTTCAAATCTTTTTGTTTTGCTTTCCATCTATCCATATCTTTTCTGATTTGATCTCCCTTTATCCAAATCTTCATATTTGAATCCATTTGTTATCAAATCCCTTCAAAATTAGCAAATATATTATTTAGTTCCAACAATCAGATAATGTTCATGATTATCATTTTAAAACCCTAATTTTTGACTTGTTCAACTAGATAATTCATATTATTTTAGTCCATTAAACAAGATAAACTAAAGGTTTATTATGTAGTAAGTCAGTTCTTGAATTCTCCTTGTGAAGATCACTGGAATGCAGTGATCCGTATTCTCAAGTACATCAAGAATGCTCCAGGTAAAGGTCTCCTCTATAAAAACAAAGGTCATACTAGAGTTGAGAGAAACTCAGATGCTGATTGGGCAGGTTCCCCCAGTGATAGAAGATCCACCTCTGGGTATTATGTATTCCTTGGAGGTAACTTGGTTTCTTGGAAAAGCAAGAAACAATGTAGTTGCCATATCAAGTGCTGAAGCAGAATATCGCTCCATGGCCACAATCACCTGTGAACTCATTTGGTTAAAACAACTACTAAAGGAACTCAAGTTTTGAGACATTGACTCAGCATCTCTCATTTGCGATAATCAAGCTGCTTTACATATTGCTTCCAATCTAGTGTTTCATGAAAGGACCAAGCACATTGAAGTAGACTGTTATTTTGTCAGAGAAAAGTACTCTCAGGAGAAATAGTCACTAGTTTTGTTAACTCAACTGATCAATTAGTTGATGTATTCACAAAGTCTTTGAGGGGGCCTAGGATAGATGACTTATGTAACAAGTTTGGTGCATATGATCTATATGCTCCAGCTTGAGAGAGAGTGTTGTGAATATTAGTTTAGAATAGTAGTTTACTAGTCCCACATCATGTATATCTCTTTGTACTTCCTTTCTTTTCACTTATATAATAATCTCTCTGCTGTGTAGTCAAGACACACGGATTACTCACAAACCTCTCGGGTCTTGATATTTAACAACCTCTATTCTTGTGGCGACACTTCCACAATGAATAGTATATCGAACTAAATTTATGTTTGATCAATCACACTAGAGTAGAAGAATGCAAATGTAAAGAATGTGCAAAAACCAATAGAGAAAAACTCATCTAAAAATCCCGATTCTCTATTTATTTATAGAAAACTTTGGGTCACGATTTAAAAGACACACTAATTCAGGGTGAAATAACACATCCGTTCGATGACGAAATGATAAGTTTTTTCAAATCAAACTTCTTATTCATAAAATTAATTCTAACAAAAATTATATCATGCAACATGAGAAACATATTCTCCGTATATAAATTGCCGGAAAAAGAAAATAATGGAGAGGCTAGTAATTAAGGTGAAACTTGACAAAGTAGAGCCTCCTGGTGAATCAAAAGTTCCAACTCCAAAGGAATGAATGGTTAGAAAAAGCATCATGACCTTCAATTTCTTCCCCATCATCCTCAGAAAATGGTGGTGGTTGAGAGGAATATAATAACTCACCCGAGTGCAAATTTTGTAGCCCAGAATAGAAACCAAAATCGGAGCCAGCAACAACGCCATTATTATTCAAGTCATCCAACATGTTCAGAAATGTCCTATCAATGTTCCTTATGTCCCCGTGGTCCACTTGCATAGTCCCATCATTCGAATTGGATTCAAATAACTCAAATGAATTAGCACCAAGTTGTGACTCTGATGGTTCTTCTTCTTCTTCTTCTTGGGTCTCCAATGGTGGGTCATTGGCAAACTTAGCAGCAACCTCTTGAATTTCACGTGGGGAAAGAGATTGGTTTCCACCAGGAAAAACCACAATATTATGTATCTCCAAGTTGAGAGGTGTATCAGGGAAATTGAAACTAGCATGGCGACCACGTAGACAATAAAGGGCTGCATCAAAGGCCCTAGCAGCTTTCTCTTGTGTGTCATAAGACCCCAACCATATACGCTCACGGCTATTAGGAAGCCTTATCTCAGATACCCATTTTCCCCATTTTCTCTTCCTCACCCCTTTGTACAACTTACTAGTGTTATTGTTGGAATTACAAGATTCATAACATGATGCTTTGTTAGGATCAGCACCACCCATGGCCGGTTTCACCATGAGTAGTAGTGGAGGAAGTTGTGGCTTTCAGAGTTTGTGATGCTTTCATTGGAATTGACGGCTAAAGGTGTACGAATTAGCTTTACTATATAGTGAGGATGAAATGAATTAAGTGAAGCTCTAAACGTGTTGATTAGAAAGAGCGTAGAAACAGTGGACACGTGGCTAGGTTTTTTATACAAAAGAGCACGTGGGGAAATTGAGGTTTGAATTTGGTCCGAAAATTAACATGGTCGTCTTTCAGGCTCGTGTCTCTCAATTCTCTATGGTTGGTGGACCAGAGTTTGGTTCTACACTTGACACTCACTAACTCCTTGGACTGTGAAGAAGAAAAGTGTGGAGGTTTGCTTGGCTGTGAATGTGATGGTGCATGGTGCCATGGTAAATGTCATTGGCTTTCATCGATCACCCACTTAATTACATATACCACATGTTCAATTATCTGCAATCGCTATCTTCAAAGACGGCCACACTTTGTACTGCGGCTATGGTTGTATAAATTTTTTTCTTTTGTATAAACAGGAAAGAAATGGTTGTATAAAATTTATAACGGTGACAGCTCAGTTGACGTATGAGAGTTGAGTAGGTGGGTTGAGAACATGTGTTCGATACTTTCCAATACCACATTTGGAAGAGATTTAAAGCCTTAATCCTGAACCCGCCCCGAATAGCGAAGCGATCAACCGATTGGAATATTTTAAAAAAAGTAAAATAAAATTTATAACAAATTGACCATATTATGATGTATAGGATTGGAGTATTTATTTTGATGATGATGACGACGGTGAAGGAATGAAGTGACAATTTTCATGGTCGTGGAAACATCACCTCGATACTTATTATCAAGAAAATAAAGCTGTGATGTTAACTAGCGAGAAGAAATTGACAATGCATGCATGATCACAACAAATAATAGAATGAAACTGATTACAGAAATATATTTTGACCAATTCTAAAATTTACTTACGTACGTTGTATCTTGTTATTCTGACATGTTGGTCGGTTCCAAAACATCGAGCTTGGAAAGAGTATATAAATAGTAAAGAAAAAAGTGTTTGTCCATAGAGCTTTTTTCCCATATTTACACCAAAATACAATAGATGAATAGTCATTCGATGAAAAATCAGAATCATATAAGTATTCTATTTTAAATATTATATATCATTTATTTACTATCAAAAAAACCTCATTTATTTTTAGACCCTCATTTTTAAATGACACAATTTATATTATTTATCTCATAAAGAGGTGGAATCCAAATATTTATTTATTTTTTTCATTCTTTCTCCCATTTTATCTATCTATTTCTCTCACTTAAAATGACACAACTTTACATCCTTTAAAATGATACACACTTTTCTCATATACCAAAATCTATACTTTTCTCACATTTTAAGTGATACAAATTTCATTTGAATATTGAAGCGGTCCTTATGTATCCACAAGTTCGAATTGCTAATATTTCAAAAGCTTTTTGATTGCTAATTAGCCCAAACTTGCTTGTCACTTGAGGCACAACAATTGTTAGTAGATATAATCCTTAACTAGTGTTATTTATCTCTCATCATTTTTGAAGGAGGGAAAAATTGAAAAATATTAGAAAGTAATATCCTAAAGTGGTTTCCATGTGAAAAATTTAATAGGAGTAAAAAAAAAAACACAACAGAAGTAAAATTTAAAATTGTTAATTTATTTGGTAAGGAAATAAAAGGGAAAAATAATTAAATACTTAATAACCATCATTTGTTTCTTAAATAACTAATTTCACTCATCTTAAATTGGAACCAGCAAAAAAAAAAAACCAAAAGAAAAATAAACAATTACATCGATACAGTTTTGTTAACTAATAAGTTAAATTCAGTGACAGGCCTATGTATCTTGACATCTCATTGTATTGAATGGATTCAACTCAACTCTTTACAAGCTATCGATACAATATTTATAGAAGCTCTGAGCTGGAAAAATGAGCACAACTAACTACTGGTCTGTATGATTATGTTCTGATTTTTTTATTTTTAAAATTATTTGTAGAATAGGAAACAATTGTTTTTGTTGGGTATGGCTCATCCTTTGCAGTTATATGACAACACTTCTTGTAAACCGAGTGACTTGTAATGAATAGCGGTGAAGGTGAATATAGTACAGATAAACTGGACGTAGCTTACATTGGGTAAAACAGGGTAAATCACTGTGTCAGATCTCTCTTCCCTCTCTTTTTTGTTTTTTTAGATTTGTGTGATTTTCGATTTCTAACAATTGGTATTAAGAGCTTTGGTTCTACAACCGGGGTTCCTGTGACAGATTAGGGTTTCACGATTTGGGATTTTTTCTTGGCGTAGAGAAAACTGCGAAATTGATCTAGGAAGGATGTCGTCTGGACAATTCGTATCGAGGTTGAAAAGTACGAAGGAAAGGGGTTCGAGTTATGCTCATCGATATGGATGTATGGTACGTGATCGAAGATGAAAAGCCGTTTGCACCTGCCGATGACAAAACATCAGAGGTAGGCAAGTCGAAGGAGTTGAAGGCGTGGACCAGAGACGATCGAAAGACGCGACACTTGATCTAGTTATGCCTGGCAGATAACGTTTTAATGAATGTAACTTCTAAGAAGATCGCATAGGATCTTTGGACAAAGTTGGGAAGCCTCTATCAAAGCAAGTCACTCGTGAACAAGTTTCTCCTGCGAAGGAAGATGTATAATTTACAGATGAGCGAAGATGATTCTTTCTCTGCTCATTTAAATAAATTTAAAACTATTTTACACAACTTACATCTATAGATATAAATCTGGATGAGGAAGACAACACTTGCATCTTATTGTGTTCGCTGCCTAACTCTTGGGAGCATATCATTGTGTCAATTGGTACTGGTGTTAATAAACAATTGTTCGAGATGGTTGTTGCTGCCTTATTGTCCGAGGAGATGAGAATGGTAGATTTTGAAGGTACCGACAATGAGGCTCTGGTTGTTAGATGGAAGAATGGCGACAGATCAAAGTCTTGTCAAAGAGGAAGATCAAGGGGACAATCAAATTCCAGTGATAAATCTAAAGTAAGATGCTGGAGGTGCAAACAGATTGGACACTTGAGGAGGTATTACAAAAATAAAAACGTAGATCCTCTTGAGAAGCAGGATGATCCACTATCTTCTAGTCATGGTACAAAGAAGGATGGTAGAGATAGTGTGGGGCACCTGTACATAGGGTTCGACAGTCATAGTGACTACAAAGACTGGATCTTTGACATTGAGCATCGTTCTATATGACATCTATAACACCCTGTATATATCCGGTAATGTTATCATAATATCGTATTAAGCTGCGCTTAATTAAAAATGCGGAATTACTTTTTTCTTTTCAATTATGATGCCATTAACATTACCAACTTGCTTAATAATCAATTAATAAAACATCGCCTGTATGTAATTGCAATAAAACAGCTAACTGAAAAATCTCATAACATAGATAATATAAGTGTGGCTCTAGTCACGGAACTACAACAATGTAGACCGGACCATCTAACAGTTTATACAGCTCCAATCTAAAAAGTACTAATAGAGAGTGTCATGGACAATCCCCATGCTCACTCAAATAAGGCAACATGCCCAACATCAGTCTCAACAACAACATAATGATAAAAGGCATAAAACATAATCAGCATCAATATCCAGTCATGCTAACAAATAAGCAGAAACAACATAATCAGCTAAGCTCCGGCCTCCTGCCGTCTGAGGCATTAGTACCCATACTACCTGATCCTGAAATAAGCATTCCCCAAACGTGGGGTAAGATCTCTAATCTAGAAATCTCAGTAAGTCAGTGAGTCCTCAAGGATCTTCCACCCCAAGCTCACTTACATGTGCAATATAAGTTCAAAAGCAGTTTATCATTTATCATTTCTAAAACAATGCAATGCAGCAGATAATCATGCCATGTGTGTCAATACTAATCTACTGGCCAGAGACAATGCAGGTATACGTCTATCACCTACACACCGTGCAAGTACCACTTGCATTCACCCCGGTACACCGTCTTGTATGGCGCTACATACTCAGGCTTCCCGTCAAGATGAAACAACACATGCATATTAAAAGCCATTACATGTAAAGTTAAATCAACATATCAAATATCCAAAAGCATGTACACAGCATGCATAAACCATATCCCCATGGGACATGGTGGAACCACAACATGGCTAAATCGAGGACACGAAAGCTTACCTCACAAGCTAGCTATCCAATAACCAAGAGTCCACAGCTCAATGTCCAAACACAGCAGATTCACAATCTGTTATGGACCAACAGTATATTAATAAACATGTACCACATGCATTCAACTTAAAGACAACGCCTTTCCTTACGTTTTACGTCTTAAGGCTCCATACCAAGCCATAAGTCCTTAATCACAACGATTCTGACTTAGTTTAATTAAAACAGAAGTTCAACTTCCTCAATCTAGGGTTCACAAACCCCCAATAGCCTACTGTACACACAGCACAGCTACTGTTCTACGAAATCCCAGAATATCCGGATATTCCTCGGGACCATATCCGGATATGCAATATCCGGATATCTCACTGGACATATCCGGATATGCAATATCCGGATATCCAGAATCCCATATCCGGATATCTATTATCCGGATACTCAAAACCCATATCCGGATATCACATATCCGGATATTCATCGGGCACATATCCGGATATTTCACGACAGAATGCAGAAAATGTATTTCGTGAAGATATCCATCCAAGGTTGGGTTTTTAACGATTTAAAGCACCTAAACAAGCATTTCTAGGTGTGTTCAACATTACTCAACAACAAGTTATCATCTTTAAGCCTTAACATGCATCAAGCTTTCATTTTTAAGCATTAAACTCATGATCAAAGGTGACAAGGCTTACCAAAGCTCAATCAGCCAACAAGAGGTGCTCTTGGAGCTCAAAAGGTCACTCCAAGGTTCTGTCTCTCTCTGCACACGAAAA